AGCCGGCTAGCGTGTGTAGGGTGTCCTCGATTCATGGGAGAGGGTAGCTGTCTTTCTTCGTCACATTATTTAGTTGGCAATAATCCACGCAGAATCTTGTCGAGCCGTCATTATTGTTCACTTATACGACTGGGGAAGGCCAGGGGCTGTCAGAAGGTTCGATGACTCCTTCTTTTCCCATATCGCTGACTATCTTGTCTGCCTCTTCTTTCTTGGGAAGAGGGATTCTCTAGCTGATTGTCGGAATGATCTGGCATTCCCAGTGTCGATTCTATACTGAACCACATTCGTTCTGCCGCCTTTTCCTTCTCCAATATCGATTATTTCATTGTACTTCTTGACTAACAGTGCCCCGCATTGTTTCTTTTTTCAAGGTCACGGAAAAGTAGTTGACATTTATGACCCTGACTGGCACAACTTTATCAACAGGGCGGGTTGGCTGTCCTTGTTCACCTTTCACTGCCTGAACCACTGTACATGCTGTTTTCGGCGAGTGCATGGGCTTGGGAAGTGGGGGTTAAGCAAACCGGCCATCGGATGCCTGCTTCCACGTAGCCCTGCTGGATACGGGAATGATAGAATCACTTGTGAGATTCATCCGAGAGGATGAATGACTCTGAGCCTATCAGCTGTCTGTACGGAACCTTTGAGATTCTGGGCGCCCTCTCGTCGTCGCATCGCCTTGTCACGGAAATGCGGGGCTCTGACGTGATTGACCTTCTTTCCCTAGCTACTCGTGGAACCTTTATGGACAGATTAAACTTAAAAAAAAATTCTGACGCTAAGTCTATAGAGGAGATGGATGTCGAGCTTACGACTCCAACTGACCTCTCGTAAACTTATATCGGAAGCGATTCTACAGAGGAGATGGATGTCGAGTTTACGACTCCAACTGACCTCCCTGTAAATTTAATCCAGGAGTGAGTCTACAGAGGAGATGGATGTCGAGTTTACGACTCCAACTGACCTCCCTGTAAATTTAGTTCAGGAGCGAGTCTACAGAGGAGATAGATGTCGAGTTTACGACATTCAGGAGCGAGTCTACAGAGGAGATGGATGTTGAGTTTACGACTCCAATTGACCTCCCTGTGAATTTAATTCAGGAGCGAGAGCTGCGGCGTACGCAGAATCTGTCTCAGGTGGAGGAACTAACCCCCTATGAGCAGATTGGCAAACGTTTGCGCTCCAGTGAGGTTTCACCAAAACCAGAGGCGAAAAAGCCCTGCACGGCAGAATCTAAGGTATCGTCAGGTGTAGCTGACGTGCAAAAATCCTCATATGGGAAGGTTGTAGTATCAAGGTGGGAATCAGGTCTTTAGAGTTCGGCAGAGCCGTACTCTTACCGTCTGACCCCAAATACCACTCACCATATAAACTAATCGGCTTCGTTAAGGAGCTGGGTTTGTTTGGCCGAGTGAGAATAGGTGTGAGCCACAATAAACCCTTGCGGGTTTCAGTGGAGGGTCGAATATACCCACTCACTTTGGACCTAACCTGACAGGGTCTTCCCCAGTGCCATTACTCGTCCAATTTTCTCATCGTGTATCTTGGGCTCGAACATTACCACCTTTCCGCTGCTCGCACTTCTGTCCAAGCGAGCTTCCAGGATGGTTTCAGCCCTCTCAGGTACGCACACGTCTTCAGTCAACAGGACCCTGATCATTTCTTTCGCCGACACGTAGGACGCCGTCTTGAAAATTCAGCTCGAACCCTCTGGAATTTATTATATCCATTCCAATAATCGCATCGTCCTCGATGTTCGTCACCAATGCACGATGGTTCAATATAGTGCTGCCCAACACCAATTCAATTGGTAGTTCTCCAAGTACAGTGGCTGGCTCCCCTGTTGCTCCCCTGTAGATTCCAACTTGTAGGTTCAATTCTTGCCGGCGTTTTGGCAAAGGTTGGCCCAAGAATGGTTCTCGTCGCACCTATATCTATCAGCATGTGCAAGGCTCGTTGTTGATGAGGCCGTCTACGAAAACACCTTTGTCTTGTCGTTGGAGAATGGCAACATATGCCTTTTTTACGGGGACTTGCTGGGTACAGGTCAACGATTACTCCTTCTCATCGACCCCCTCTAGTTTTCCTGATTTGGTGTTGATTCATTGAATGCTGGACATTTGCTTTGCACATGCCCAATTCTCCCACAGTTCCAGCATCTTATTTATTTTCGCTCAGACAACACTTCTTTCATTACCTTTCTAATGGTGGCCTCAATATCAGCAGGCATCTGTCCATCTTCCTCGATAGTTCGAACTTTGCCGTGGCTCTTGCAGAATTGTTTTGCAGCTTCAAACTCCAGGGCGCTTGCCAGTGCATCCACGAGATGTTTGGGATGAGCTAGTGTCAAGGCCTACCTCGTTTCTTGGTCCCGAAGACCGTCCAAGAATGCCTGAATTGCTAACCGCTCCATTACATTTTCCGCTGTAGCAAGATATGCCAGACGAACCAATCGAGCAATGTCGGCTTCAAATTCCCGTAGAGATTCTTCTGATTTCAGGCAGCGGTTCTTCAGATGTGAATGGTAAACATGCTCTAGGTGGGCCTGCCCATACCGTAGCTCAGGATGCTTTATAAGTTGGTTATAGTCTTCCTGTTCATGGGCCGAGAGGGTTTGCAAAATATTGGTTGCTTCTCCACGCAACGCCAGTGTTAATGCTACCGCATTTTCTCCTACATTTCATCCATGCGCTCTGGCCGCAGCTTCGAATTATCAACATCATCAAATATGTCCTCGGACCACATGACACTGAAATACATGTTCTACACAAACTTTGGCATCAGAAACACCAGGCATATAGGCAGGTGAAAAACCGAACATGGAACGGAAGCTAGAATTTACTGCTCGGGGAGAAATCTGTATTTCATTTACCCACTCGGTCAGTTCACATCAGTCTTCCAGGCTGAAGTGTATGTAATCTTGCAATACGCAGGAAACATTAATTTGAGGTCTCAACGGCGGATCAATATTTTCACAGACAGCCAGGCTACATTTGGGACACAGACGAACCCAAAACTGACATCGAGACTGGTCTGGAAACGCCGTGAAGAACTGGGAAAACTGGGGGACAGGAATAGATTGACTACATATAAGTTCCAGAACAATTAGGCATTGTCTGCAACGAAAGATCTGATTAGTATGCCAGATATGGATCAGTAACTAAAGAGCTCTGAACCCACAGCTCTGAACGAGCTGTGGGGGTACCAGAGTTCAACGACGCAGAGATCGGCTCAAAACAATTTCAGGGCTATTGACTGGACACTGTCCAGAGAAAGAATATCTGAATAAAATAGGGCTGTATAACGGAGACCTAAACTATAGACAATTCAATGAGGGACAAAGACAGCTCCTATATTTTATGTGAATGTGAGGCATTGGATCACAGGAGGCAAACAATTTATGGACAACCTAAATATATGTCCAGAAGAATATAACATACACCCAGCAAAGGACTCGTAAAAAATAATACATGACAAAAGATTGATGGAATGGGTGTCCTGATAAAGATGGGCGAAAAAAGCAACATGTCCATGAGGCGCAGTGTTTTCCGGAGACTAGGAAGAAAGCTCCTCTCAAGTATTAAAGGAACAATTTCAACTCTGGAACATAGAAGGAACATGTTTTATTAATTCGAATCCATAGACCAGATAAGTCCAGTGTTCAACATGTCATAGGAAACGACCACAGAATAAGTGAAGAATGCTTGAAACTGTTGAGACCGGTACACGACAACAAATTTTCAGATGCCTTCGAAAGTTTAAAAATAAAAAAAAAGTGGAATAAGGCGATGACAGAGGCCCCGTATCTAACAGCTCCTTTTTCGCACCTTTAAGTAATCTCAGGTAGAATACAGGTGAAGGTCAGATATAAGTCAGGTGGCAATTAACATTAGATACTAGTGAATATTACTGGAGTTTTTTCCCAACACCAAACCGTTATTTTAACACCATGACACGTATTTTGATCACCAAGTGATCATCTTAAGAGGAATATCACTTGGTGATCATCTTCAAGAGGAAGATGGTGATGGGAAAAAAACTCCAGTAATATTGATTACTACACCAAAGGTTCCAAACAGAGCATCACAAAATTAGGTACTAGTAATTAATACATCGTCGATAGGAAAGTAGTCTTAGACATCTCCTAATGATGCTAACTTGCTTAAAACAAAACGTGTGTCGAGAGAAGCATTTTTTTCTGGTGAGAAAAAAGTGTTTTCAATAGATTGAGTGAGATGATAATACGGCTCTCCTCACCTCTTCCATGAGTCGGAAGTTAGAGGTCATCTACATGCAACGTGCATTGGAACGTTCGTACCTAAACTGAAAATCTGAGTTAATATGTACAAGACTCCAACTTAGGAAGGCATTGAGTCTCTCCGGTCACGAGAGTGCCGATCTCAGCAAAGGAGATCAAATGATAACTACAGGTCAAGATAGATCGTGGCCTCACCTGGATTCATCACTTCTAGAGCATTAAAATAAATAACAATTGAGGATAAATGCTTCTCCTTTCGGTTCAGAAGGCCCCGACACTCACCTCAGTTTTTTCATCACCCACCCCAGTCAGGAAGGGGTGCATCTAGTCAGAACGGCATAGAGATCAGGCACTTTCTGCTGTGTTTCTACCCTTATTTAGTGGTGTCCCGCTTTTCCTCCCGACGAACAAACAGTCGAAAGGCTATGGTTCAACGTGGTTCAAATCGACCAACAGTAATGCATTGGTGGTTCAGCCTGTCACTACTGATGAGATCTATAAGGGGTCAAAAAGCTGTGTGTGGTGCTGGATGACGAATTATTTGTTTTAGAGTTCCGGTTATATTTATTTGATAACACCGTCATTAGTTAAGCTTGAGAATTAAATAATCAGAATATTTTCTACTATGCAACTCAATAAGTAAATCATACAAATTGGATTGATCCTCACATGAGACATTTACGAACCGGTATATCTCCTTGACCCATACGATATGAAAAAGAAGAAAGTGTTCCAGCCAATAACTGACAATCAAATGAGGAGGAAGGTATTCTGAAGAAGAAAGTGCAGTCGTTGTTTAGTTGTGCTCAGTGGTCGTGGCGTGGATACTATGGCAACTTCTCTACGTATGTTCTTCAACTTAATAGTGATAACCGTGTTTTGTATTGGTCTAAATACAGGTGAGTACTATTTTCATCAATAACTTGAATGTGTCATTTACCGCAATTCACTTGGCGAGAAAATTTTTCTTCCGTTAACGATAAAAACGAACAAATTCTTTGGCTATACTGAAGTAGTCAAACGAAAAATTCTAATTGAATCATCAATCATTTTAAAATTTCTTTACGAAATTGAGAAAGACATCTAATAAGCTGCATGTAACGCATGGAGTCATAGTGTTTTTTATGCGACAAAATATAAATTCATTTCAATGCAAATTGTTTGTGTAACTAATTGAATACTAATATTACCATTAGTAAGTACGTCTGTAAATAACATATGTTCACTAATTTCGAACAGAATAATATTCAGGTATGAAAATATCTTCTTTGGGTGAGTATATTTAGCACTAATTTTCAATAAAGTTTTTAATAATTTCTACAAAAGCTACACTCACTGACAATACTATTTATTAGTCTTAAACGCAATAGCATATCTTCAATTTTCCAGAGAAAAAGTTTCATCAGCACTAAATAATTTTTATAGAATTAGTTTCACAAGATATATTCGTAAATATCTGTATTCATGTTATTAACTAGTCGCTTATTGTTAATGCCAAATTCAAAGAAGAGAGAAATGGATATAGCCTATTTAAAAAAACGGGTTTCTTTAACGTTCAAGTTTAGGAAACCAACCACGTAGCAGACACTGTTGAAGGACAAATGCGATAACTACAATAAAACATTTTATAATCTGGTTATTTCTTATTATTATTGCATTTTGCATATTTAAGATGATTGTTTACAATATTATCTTGGTTGGATCACAAAATTCAGTTATAATATTGGCACAACAAAATTCAAATAACAAGCAAAATCGAAAGTTTTATTTAATTCCTATAACGTTTTATGATGAGAGGCGTGGTAACTATTATACAAGGTAGGTACTGGGATGTAAAAAATCACAAATCTCAAATATGTTAATATCGTTCGATTATTTTTAAAAGTATTTACTTTTTTTCACTTGAAAATGAAACATTTGGCAATTTGCTACCAATTTAGACGTTGCTCGGTAGGAGCCAAGAGCTTCTAACGCCGCTTGACTGTCTGAGAATATTTTTATTGCCTTGTGTGTGAGGTTGGATTCTTCCAATCTCTCGGCATTCTCGGCGTAAATTCCCGCCTGAAATACAGTCGCATATATTTCTAGGCAGGTTGATATCTCTGTCTTGGGTCTGCGACTTAAAACACCCGCACCAGATCCGGAAGGTGTTTTTGTTCCATCTGTACCATTTGTACCGATACTATGAAGTGGCACCATTAATTTCCGCTTAAACCGGCTTTCGAAAGTATTGTGCAGGAGCTTTTCTTAGATATTCAATTTAAAAAAATATTATCGCTTATTTCGACATTTTTAAGGCTGTTTCAAAGAAATACATCACGTGAAAAAAGTCGAACGATTTGTATTTTCAATAATAAATAATATCAAAGTCTGAAATTTAGTGTCACTTCACTATCATACTTATTTCAAGCCGCTAAAAGTGAATGAGGTTTTCCTAATCTTTATTTCGCCGAATAGTGAAATTGTGCTCGGAATTCGCAAACCAGTTGCTGCACAGCTGCAGTAGCAACAATAGGAATCCAATAGCAATCTCAGGTCTTTTTTATCCATCTGACAAGGGAGCTGTTCAGCTTATTTTTTGCTCATCTCTTTATCGTCACTTTATTCCCACGACATATTATTCTAACAAATGCCCATTGCTAGAATGATTTGTTTCTTGACCGGGAAACTTTCTGAAAGCCACATGAAGAAAGGAAGCTCCAAGATAATGTAGCTTCCTTATTACTTGAGATTTCCATTTGATTAGGTTTACTTGTTTTTTTACCCCTTATCTCTAGGAGGTTTGGCCGTGCTAAATTAGTTTAGAATCATTAGTAAATGACTTAAGAATATCTTACTTCGAGGAATTCCTGAATACTTGACCCTGAAGCTTCCATTTCTTTCACTTATGATTTGCCCTCCACAGATCAAGGTTACTTGTTTATTTCGCCAGTTATCTTAAGGTGATTGTACAGTCCAAAGTCTGTTCAGACTTCGTATAGACTTCAGCGCTGGAATATTTCGTTTCGAAGAATTTCGGAATAGTAGCCTCTGCAGCTTCCATTTCTAACTAAAAAATAGTGGAGGTGATTTCAAGTACCTAGTTTGAAGAATTTTAGCTCTGTGACTTACAATCATCAGTATTCCATACCATTGAGTAATAGTCAAACTGTTTCTTGTATATCGTGTGTTTCGTTACCAATTCAGTCGGACTGGCATAATCAAATGAATGTACCCATTGCTGCTGGTTCTGTATTTTTTGTGACAGTTTAAAGCATGATAAATGTTCTTATGAAATTCTAATTTTCAGTTGTTTGCCTAATAAATGTAAGCATAACAAATCATAATGTTTTTTTTGAATACTTTATTTACCTACTCAAGACAGTGTCTTGAATAAAAATGCGTGTCAAAGTGCATCGAAATGAATTATTTCAATTACCTAACCATGTTTAACTACCAGGACATCGATTTATGAATTTCAGTAGAAATTGCTTAAAGGACAAATCTCAGTAAGTGAAGGCGGCACATTAAGCCTACGAAGAACATCTGGTTTCAACTTAGTGCTCTGTTGTGAAAACTGCAGATAAAGACAGAGGACGAATCTCGTTCGACGGTCAATGTCGAATCTTGTCGAAGCCACTATTTTGAATACGTTGATTGATTCTTGTCAAGCCTATAGATGGCGTCTTTGTGAGGTTAGATGTCATCACCTTTACTTACTTTGACCAGAAGTGCAATATCCTTTTCCACGCGCGTCTTCAGGATATGAATAAAACTGAAGACGTCAACTTAGTTGGTGAAACGATAATCGAGAAAAGTTTTGCATTTCCGGTGATTCTTGAAAGTGCTTGTTTTGTTCGAATGATTTGTTTTCGGTTTCAACAAGTTATCGCGTGTTCTCATTTTACCTTAGAAGCTCATTCGAAAATAAATCTTCAAATATGTTTTAATTATATTCTTTGAAAATTCGAAATAGACAGCGGTCATGTTTTTTCCTTGAATACTCAGTTCGGACAAAATAATTGAACGCTTCAATGAATCGATAGATTGGTTACATAATGTGAGATTATATAATATCCTTTTTCTTAGGATTGGTTAGTACTACCATGAATATTCTAGAGATAAATTCACTTCAAGTCAAGGTGGAACAATTATATGTGCAATATTTCAATTTTCTAAGTAATTCGTAAGAAGCTCAGTAATTAAGTGAACTGATAATGATTCACTGTNTTACGAAATATCCTCTCATCAAGCGTTTCCGTGAATAATTGTATTCATTTTGGTGTTGCGTATTTCATTAGATTTAGCAAGATTTAAACTACCTGATATATGTTATGTTGTTGTTTTGAAGGTTTTTGTGAACGTTTACAATTTATCGAAAATTGTGTAACAGTGGCAGTCAGCAGGTCTACAATCGATGATGAATTTTGGGATTCCGATTATGTGCAATTAACATCTACGGCTACAACCTATGTTTGTATTGTGAAAAGCCAGTGTGCGCACCACCAGTGTCACCAAAATTATTCGATGTTTATCTGGAACGTTACAGAACATCTCAGAATGACATCCCAAATCAATGTGGGACGACCACGAAACGTACGTAATATATGGACTGGAAATTTCGCCTCTTAGACCATTCTAGAACAATTCAAAACAATCGAGAATATTCCACGATACTCCAGAATATCCCGGAGTATTCTGAAATATTCTGTAATGTTTATCCTTTTATTCCAACATCATACAATTTCGTATCGAATCCCTGAGCGAACACAGGTATCAACGATAGTAACTAATAATAATGATCTGGGATAAAGATTAATCAAATGAGTTCATTCACAACTATCAATTTCAATTTTGAAATAGGTAGGTACCTATCTATCTAAAAACAACACAAAACAAGAAAACGACTGTCGCATAGGTTTGTCAGGCCGCTTGCATTCTTGCATTCTCGCCACAGTTTTGATATTAATGTGTGATTGTCAAGATATTATATACCAACCAGTTCGTTGGCAGCAGGGGTGGTATATATACCCAAAGTGGGTCGGAAAGACCCACACCCTAAATCGGTACGACCAATCGGCCTTACATCCTTCCTGTTGAAAGGAGTGAGAGGATACTGGACGGATACATCAGAGGGCGAATAACCACCAGTAAGATTATCAAACCGGCAAATCGACAGATTTAGCATTAAACAACCTATGGACGAAAATTGACCATTTTAGAGATTGTTGACGTGGACCTTTCTACTAGTGAAACCGAAAACTAAATGATAATTTTTTAAACTGAACAATGATGTTCATTGTCGTACTGACATTTTTTGTCGTTTTTATAAACAAAAAATAACTTAACAAGCCTTATCGGTTTGTTGGAATTGCCATATGGCAGATAAAAAGGAATATTTCTAGAAATATCGATATTAATGTGTTTGTCTTCAGGAAATTATTAAATGTTCCGCCATTTTGTACTAGGTGAAGATATTGACTTTATATTGTAGGGTTGTGAAATATTCGTCAGGAGCTTCAAAATAATATGTCACAAGACCCCCCTTTCCCTTTAATTTTTTTTCCCAGACGGCGCAATGGCGCCCAGTCGCCATCTTGAAAGTTTCATCTGCCAAGTTCGCCAATTTCACTTCAATAAAGTATTCATGCATTGATTTCATTATCCCAAATTTCAATTTTTTGAGTTGACCCGTTCAAAAAATAAAAAGGGGGACATTAAAGAAATGCACTGTATGTAATATGTGACACCACCAAGAGGTTTATCTGTAATATTATTCTATAAATAGTTTTTTTGAATTGTCTCCGATTTTTTGTTCTATTGTCGCCTTTTGCAATCAAATACGTGGTAAGAAACTTCATGTAATTGAATAATACTTCAATATTGATATCTGCAATTGTCATTTGACATTTAAGACAAA